TATGTGTGTATATATATATATATATATATATATATATACACACATACACGCACAGTATCTTGTATTATATATATAAATCACATTAAAACAATGGAAATGAAATTTTAATGAGGGCTAAATATACTATACCACACTGATGATTGATTGATCGTCTGTATGTCTGTTATGCAGGATCATTCACGAGGACGGCTACTCGGAGGAAGAGTGCAAGCAGTATCGAGCTGTGGTCTACAGTAACACCATCCAGTCCATCATGGCCATCATTAAAGCCATGAGCAACCTCAAGATCGAATATGAGGACAGTGCCAGAGCGGTGAGTACACACAGTGTTCCCTTAGCAAATAAAGCACACACACATCCTCTCTACAGTTTTACACACACACTCAGATTACCTCAGAGGCCCACCAGCCTCTGATGATCCTTCCCTCGTCACAAAGCCAGACGTATGACTGTTGGCAAGTCTGCTCGGCACAGCACTGTGACTAGTCTTACTTTTGTATGACACTACCGTTTAAAAGTTTGGCGTCGGTAAGATTTTTAAAAAGGTGTTTGAAGGAAGTCTCGTATGCTCACCAAGGCTGCATTTATTTGATCAAAAATACAGTAAAAACAGTAATATTGTGAATATCATTACATTTTAAAATAACTGTTTTTTTTTTTATTATTATAATACATTTTAAACCTGCAAGAGATGGGAAGATTAAGTGTAAAAGAAGGGGAAAAAATAGAATGAGGAAGTGAGAGTGTTAGCTTTCTAGCTAGGATCTCAAGAGAACAGCCTGAAGGCAACAGTATGTTCAGCGCATCTGATCCACCTGAGGCTCTGGAGAAACTCTGATATCTATCAGCACAAATTTATCCTCGCTATATAGCAGAATCCATGATGTTAAACCAGATTTACAGTGAATGTACAGGGTTAACGCTGACTAAATGGAAGGAAGTAGGACACAGGAGACTTGAGACGTGTTATTAAAAGTCAAACTTCTTTTAACTTGTCACAGCATCTTAAAAAAAAGCAGCACTCTTGGTGCAGAGAATGAAGTGAAGAATATGGCTCCTTTAAACCAACACAGGCGGTTTATTTTCAGTGTGCAGCAGCAGTTTAATTAGACGGGTGACGGGAGAGATGGATGATTGTGTCTCTGCTCTGGGAATAGAGCTGTAAAGTGCTGTTAGAGAGGCTAACAACATCTCTCCATAACATTTAATTAGTGAGAGCGAGATATGTTAGAGACATTCCTCAAGTGTCTCTCTTTCTCGTTTATGAGGCATTTGATGAAGGATGTGCAAAACTGATAACTAATAAGTCAGTGGGTCATCTCAATAACTAGTCTGTGTTAGGAAAACCCTGTGTAATTAAGCTAGATCAGGGTCATGCCCACCAAAAACCAGAAGCGTTTCTGAGCTGTTTATCAAGGGTGTCAGAGGGCTGCCTGGTAAAAACGTAATGATGTCCGGAATCAACTTTATACTGCTTTAATAATTAAATTGGAAAACATATAAGCCAATATTGGTGTCAGTTGTCATTACAAATACCAACAATTTTTTTTTTGTTTCTCTATGGTAGTTTGATACCATAGCAAAACTTTTTAACTTTTTATTTAACTATATGAAAATAAAAATACAAAATTAAATTAGTTATGAATTATTAATGCTAATAATAATAATTATAAAATAATACATGAAAACATTAGCAGTGTAGACTGTGTAGTCTGCATTTATACTGCAAGGCTTAATACACAGATCAATTTTGACATTGTTTATAGGGATGTAACGATTCACTCAACTCACGATTCGATTCACGATACTGATTTCACGATTTGATTTTCTCACAATTTTTTTTTTTTTAAACAAAATTAGATTTAAGACAAAGTATAAATGAAAATGTGTCCTTTTATTATTGCTTGGACAAAATGCTGCACATTTCTTTGTGAAACAGAAATATGTCAAATAACAAAACTAAATTGAAAATTTAAAACAAACCCCAAATCTAATCAAATAAATAAGACAAAAAACCTCTTCATATAAACAAAAGCTTTGCCTGTGCTCTTTCCATTCAAAATTAGAGGCAACCACTGCATTTGAATCACAATCCAAACAAAGATGCTGAATACATCCAGCATGAGCAGTTTTTATAAATTAGATTGTATAATTTGAAATTTTAAAACAAAAACAGAATGCTCTGACTTTAGTTTTCTGAAACTATACTACATAAAACATCTGCACGAAACACAGAGCAGAAGCTCTGAATGAGACACAGATTCACTCTGACAGCAGGAGGCGCTTCTGGAACAGTACTGATACAGCGTTTCTTTGGTTAACGCTGTAAACAAAGCAGCGCAGCACTTATAAACGCTGCTTTAATATGCATTATACAGAGACGAGATGAAAAGAAAATATGATCTAAACTTTTCCAAATACAGTCAGTTCCCCTCAGAGAAACATTCATATAAAGTCCTACCCCCAACTGTATAGCGATTCGTTTAACATCTCAACCGATTTGAATCGTCACATATTTGTATCGATTTTTAACCGGCTCGCGTTGAATCGTTACATCCCTAATTGTTTATGCTAATTTGTGTTAAGCTGACTGTTGGCTCCCTGCAGGTCTCCGTCAAAATAAAAGCTCGGTTTAATGTTTAAAATTGAAGACCGCTATAAATATTAGTATTGTAATTTAACTCTAAAATAAAATTATTATAAATATTATATTTTTTAGTTGCTCATTTACAGTGAAAGTAACGAAGTAATATTTAGAGTACAAATATTTTTTAATAATTTTATTTATTAATAATGATAATTATTTTACAGTGAAATATTACATTAGTAATATTTCTTATTGTTAAATATTTTTATTTAATAATAATAAATTCTTATATTATTAAACATAAATCAAATAATAAGAATGACTTTGTAGTCATATTGATACATAACCACCATTTGGCCAAATTGTGCAGCCCTGCAAAAACAAGCATAGCAAACCTGGAGCTTTTTTTTACAGTTTGTATCAGGAAAAATTGCAATTAGAATTTTTTTCCCCAAATCATGCAGCCCTGCAGACCTTGTTGATTTCTGTAATGTAGTAGAGACATTTATCCATTTATATATACAGGTGCATCTCAATAAATTAGAATGTCGTGGAAAACCATCCCTATATTTGATTTGATCCTGTTACCCCTTAACTTTCTTTAAAAACATTGAGTGCACAGTGCTGTGTGTAAGACAGGAAGTGTTCCATCGGACTGCGTACCTTTTAAATAGTATGAGTGAGTGCATGTGTTAGCCATATGTCACAGTTTGAGCAGTGTGCTTTAGATATGTGGAAAACCGCATCCCATGGGGCTGATTGCTCTATCTCCTCATTTTCTCTCTCTCTCTATTGCTCTCTCTCTTCTCTTAAGACCATAAATATTTTAAAAGGCCTGTAACCATCCTGTCCTCTCTCTGTTCATATCTCTTGGCTTTTTTCCACCACCAAGTAAAAGAACCTATAGGATTCCTGTTTCGAAAGATTTTCAAGTATTCCTTGAATTTGCAAGCTATTTAACTTCTTAAATTGTGAAACACGGTGTCGTTTCACCTTTACGATGTCTGCAATCTACAGTAGCACACAGTTTAAGAGTTCATCACGTCTCCTAGAAGCACGGGGTCAGTCGTGTCACACGTCTCTCAGCCCATCACTTCTACTCATGGCTCCCATGTTCCGCCCCAGGGTTGACTTCCTGTGACCTAGATCAGCTCCGTGGAGGGAGGGGTTTGGTGTGAGGCTCCATTCCTACAACATGTACTCTGGGAGGAGAGAGACAGATATGTAGGTAGACAGTTATTTTTGTAGCTCTGAGAGAAGCACAGAAGGAAACATGTAGGAGACAGACAGACAGGCTGCAAAAGACGCTCATCAAACGGATCGAGACTCCAGCCTGAGATGTGATAGTAGAATCTCGAGGTGGGAGCTAGTCATAGGCTCCTTCTCCCCCTCTCTGTTTTTCTCTCAGGGGATGCATAGCTCACATTTGTATGTTGCACTTTTGACCTGTCTGGCAAATAAATCTCTGGAGTAATGTGAAGTAACCACCACATAGTACACATACACACGTGCACACACAGCAACAACCACAAGAATATCCCACCTCCCAGAATACCACCATACAACCAGTCTGTCCTCATGATAATGGATGTATAGATAATGCAAATGGACAGTCAATATTTCTTTTTACCTGACTCAATCAGTTATTAATATCAGGTCTACTAACAAGTGCTGCCATTTTGGTTTGTAGTGATTAAAAGAGGAAATAAAATCGGTTTTGCATATGGATTTGTGGACACATGGGTCAAATTATATGTATATACATGGATGGATGGATGATTACAGTTATTAAAAGAATAAATAAAAAAATCAGTGCTTAGCATGGGTTAGTGGACTTAAAAATATAATAATTAAAAATATAAAAATGTAGTTGTGATTAATGTGCAGAAAGTTCTGCTGAGTCACTTTCCAGCTGCTGTGAGGTAATATGTTCACATTGCAGATTATTCAGTTGATGAAATTGGTTAGACTTAATAAACCTGCCTCGGACTCCTAATTCTTTTGCATATGATGCATATAAGTATGTTCGTTTCTGTGTACTGTGTTAACGTGCATTACTTTTCAAATGGATCTGTTTATTCCTTTATTTTATAGGATGATGCACGTCAGTTGTTTGCCCTGGCCGGGGCGGCAGAGGAACAGGGCAACCTGCCAGACGATCTGGCCAATGTCGTCACCAGACTGTGGGCTGATGGAGGGGTACAGAGCTGCTTCACCCGCGCCAGAGAGTACCAGCTCAACGACTCCGCTGCATAGTGAGTTCTCTCTCCGTTATTGGGCAGAAATAAAGAAAATTTTCTTAACACATTTTCAAATATTCAGCGTTTTTTTTATAGACACCAAAACCGCTCTGCTTTAGATCAAAATATTATAAGTGCCTCTCTAAATGAGGGCCAAAACAAAACTGGAACTTACTCAAGAGTGCCTTTAAATTTAAAAGGGACTGAAAGATGAAAATGTGTGATTAGAGTAGGCAGGATCAGATCGATACGTCAAAGCGAGCAGACGAACAGTTAACGGTCCGTTGAGAAACCAATTGCTGTTAAACGGAGGGTTGGCCTGGGTCAGGATTTCCATGAATTTTCCCATGCTTGATACACTCAGAATCAATCAGGGGTAGGCGGAGCGTTCCCTCACAGGGGATCACGGTCGATTTGGCCTTGAATTAGGAAATGAATGATGATGTCATTTGCTGGTGGGAAAAGAGATTATGGAAGGATAGAGGGAGTGCTAATCTTAGTTTTTATAGTATTTAGTTGTGTTTGCTGGGTTCTGCAGATGTTTATGTGAGAGGGTTTATAGCCTGTGTGTGGGTGGGTGGAAAGAAGTGTGGTTTTACAGAGGCAGCCACTCCTTCCCCACCCTCAAAACAGAGGCTAAGATGACTGTATTGAAAAGAATAGCAAAACCTCATTGAGGAGAGATGCAGACTATAGAAATTATAATTAGCTCATAATAAAAACAATGAATAAAAATGGAAAGCCCTCACATAGACTTGAATTTCATATTCATCAAAGAATCCTGAAAATAATGTATCATGGTCTCCACAAAAATATTAAGCACCACAACTGTTTTCAACATTGATAATAACAAGAAATGTTTTTTGAGCATCAAATCAGCATATTAAAATTATTTCTGAAGGATCATGTGACACTGAAGACTGGAGTAATGATGCTGAAAATTCAGCTTTGCATCACCGCAATAAATTACATTTGAAAATATATTTAAATAGAAAGAAAATATTCACAATATTGTTTTTACTGTAGTTTTGATCAAATAAATTCAGCCTTGGTGATCGTGAGAGACTGCTTTCAAAAACATTAACAAATCATAAAGCTCTTAAGCCTTGGAGCGGTAGTGTGTAAAAACTTATGTGGCTTCTGTAAATGTTTTACACTGCTTTTTCTGTTGGTGTGGTAGGCATTAAAGGGGTCATGAACTGAAAAATTCCCTTGATCTTTTGACATTTAAGAGCTCATTGTACTATTAAAAACATCCTGTAAGTTTCAGAACTCTAAACTTTATTGTTAGCCTAAAAACAGCTTATACTGAAGCCAGTCTGCCAAAACAACATGTTGTGGAGTGTGCCACTTCATGACGTAATAGTGTGGCTTAACCCCGCCTCCGCAGAAGAAGATCAACGCCTGCTTCTACATCACTGCCTATTTAGCCCCGCCCACCGATTCATGCATATAGTGTAAATCACGAGAGAGGCAAACGCAGGTCTAAGCAGAAATCCAATTATAAAGATGGCTCTGAAGACAACAAGACACTGTGCTGTGCCAAGTTGTGGGTCTTTGCATCACCTTCCTTCTGATCCCAACATTAGGAAAGAGTGGATTAACTTTTTTAATTTTTAATGAAGTTCCAGACAACCTCAGTAAGAACTTGGTTCTTTGTTCACTTCATTTCACCTCAGATTTGTTAGATGCACACCGTTCTCTAGAAAACAAATGTATGCTGTAGCATTAAGATTAGTTTTCACTGGAACTAAGAGGTCTGGAATCGGAACATATATTTGGCCAAGTTTCACAAGATCTCCCTAACCTCTGAACCAGAGCCGGATGTCAAGCACAGCTCCTGTTCCAGAGAAAAACAAGACAAACTTCCTGTGCATCACAGAAAATATCATCTTTGTCTATCTGTTTGCGTGAAACAAAGTTATTGACAAACATCAGTAAATAGGTATTGCCTACATAAGTATGTACTGAATCCCTTTAAATGTGGTATGATGATGTATTATTTTGAAAAGCCACTGTATTAAGTGTCTAGCCTTGGCGTATTTTTCTCATTACAGCTACAGTGTTAGACTGTGCTCTTGGCTCTCATAAACTCTAGCTTCATTTATCAGAGACATGACTTTAATTCCCCGAACCTTAAATGATAGCAGGTGGGCATTAATATCTCTCTCAACAGTCCCATATTCCTGCACCCTACAGGCCAGAGCCTTTATTGCATAAATAAGAGCACACCACATGTGCTGAAGTGTGAATAAAATAGTTTAATATGTCTTCAAGAGAGACAAAGCTCACCCAAGCGGAAATGTGAAACTAAATGTTTTTAAATATCTTGGTTTTGCAGTATGTAAGACTACAAAAGCAGCTCTAAGCCCGTCTTTGTGAAGAGCGATTATCAGCACATTTCACTTTGAGTTGGGTTGTGCTTGATTGTTTTTGTGTCGATGGACTCCAGCGAAGTGCGAGCCTCTGTGGGGATCCTCACAATATTGTGACCGCACGTAGACCTAATAAACTTATAAGAACTAAGAAAGAAAAGAATCAACTTGGAAGAACTTCTCATGCCACGATGTTCTCTTATAATTCAGCATTGGAATCCTGAACTCTAGGTTAGTCATGGAGCTGTACAGTTGTGTCGTAGTGGGATTGTACGGCATTAGGTGGAGCAATAACATTCAGTGTTGCTGGCAGGAGTTCTTGCCTACGCAGCTCATCCAAGCTGTGTTACTGTGAGGCTTCATCAGCCTTTGATTGGCAGCTGAATGAAAATCTGCATCGTCACTGTCGCAGCCTCCTAGACGAAGGCGGTTCGTCTGTTGCTCTGTTTGGAAATCTGATTAGCCGATTGCACACAGTATTTTGCATAAGAACATCATCTACAAGGCTTGTTCACACCAACGCTGATACAACTGAGAGATTTTCTTTGGCTTTAGCATAGTATATAATATAAAAGCCAATTATTTAGTGTTCTTTTTATGCCTAATATTTTCTTCACACTATATTTCTTCCTACATATTTTAGGAAGGATGTCATCATATTTGGTGCTTCTTGACACCAAAGATGTCGTTTTATGCAATAGTGAGCATACCTAAAGTGTGTCTGGATATTTGGAAGCAAATGCTATTAATGTAGCTAAGTACAATCTTTATAAAGAAGACAGAAATGTATTTAAAAAAGCTAATGTTTTGTTACCATCCTTTGCAGTTATCTGAATGACATGGAGAGGATAGCCAAAGCAGACTACATCCCAACCCAGCAGGACGTGCTGAGGACCAGAGTGAAGACCACTGGCATCGTAGAGACACATTTCACCTTCAAAGACCTGCATTTCAAGTGAGAAACCTCTCTGCACTAGATGTCTTTATTTCGCTCTGATTTTAACCGAGATTTCATTCACACTCTCTAGTAGGCACGCTAACATGCGTGTTGACACATTCACACTTCAAACAACTCATCTGCCCAATCTAACAGCCTCTACTATTTCTGTTAGCTAGCAACACCCTCTCGAATCACTACGGTACACTTATAATAAGTACTTATATTTGGACTATTGTAGCCTGTCAGGTCGTCACTGCTGCGGAGTAACACATACCTGCGTGAATCGCCATAGACATAAACTTAGAGAAGTAGCTCCGGTTGGAATGTTCTTCCGCGGGATGTGTTCAGCTGTTTATTAACCGCTAGAGCGCCAAAAGTTACATAGTGCTGCTTTAACAGGTCTGGAATGATTCTCTTTGAATGTGTCTGCTTTAATCTACAGAAGAAATGTCAGCCCAACCTTTAAAAAGATCAAACACAAGCTAGCTTTCCAAGATACTATTACTTTATTTAATGTTTTGTAAATCATGTTATGTATCGTGTAAAAAAAGCATATGCCACATAAGAGGGAAGATAATTACGGAATTTCCTAGAAATGCCAATGACGTCTTTTCCAGGTCGACATGGTTATAGAGACAAGTGTGTGACAGGCAGAAATGAATGACTCCTGCAATAGACAGGAAGCCCCAGCTCTTCCATCCTCCCACCCTGTCTCATCCATCCTACTTTCAACCCCTCCAATACCATAGAAACAAAGCCCGGACTCAAAGGTCAACAAATGCCAGTGACACAAATAAACGTCCAGACCTAAAGAAGAAGGGGCATAGTAAATCTCTCACTAATACAGAGTCAGCAACTTAACTATTCTGCATTAAAAATTTCCCACAAATTTCCAGCAGACAAAAACAAACTCTGGGGAAAATATGATTTGTGGAAACTAGTAAACCGTAAATGACGTGAAATGAGTAATGTTGTCATTACATACTCATCCTCAGGCCTTTTCTAACCCATGTGACTTTCTTTTATTTTTATTTTTATTTCTTCTAAATCTTTAGAAATAGGTTAAGAAAAAAGTTTGAAGATTGTCCAAACTGCTCGTTTTCATAAAGAATACACATATTACATTTATTATAATACAAATATATATTTTATAATGATCAGGGACTGTGAAAGCCCCACATAGGAAAAAAAAAAGCATCATAGAAACAGCCAATACACCTTGTACCTTATATTTTTTAATGATTTTGTAAGTGTTTTAAGCCAGTACGATAAGTTTTAGTAAGGAACTGACTGAAATAGAAGTTATCGTTTGCTATAATCTTCCTCTCTGCCATAACATATTACAACTTGTGTGCTGCTGTTAAGGCATGTTGGAAGGCCATGTTTTTTGACAATTTATGGATGAAACCTCTATGTATTTGGATTGACATGACAGAAAATGATGACAAAACTATTCCTTTAAGGCAGTATGATATATTAAACACTGTTCTTTTGCCTATTACATCTTTATTGCATTTGTGTCAAATTAAATAAGCTTGTTTGGCTGATCATATGTTCTGTCCTGCTTTGTTAGTTGTTCAGGGCATTTTTCTCCTTGATATATCATTTATTTTTTTAAGATATGTCTGTTCATACTGCTGACCATTTATATGGGTCTGCTCTCTCTGTGTAGGATGTTTGATGTCGGCGGTCAACGTTCAGAGAGAAAGAAGTGGATCCACTGTTTTGAAGGGGTGACGGCCATTATCTTCTGTGTGGCCATGAGCGCGTATGACCTGGTGCTGGCTGAGGACGAAGAAATGGTGAGACCCTCTTAGACCCTCTTTACCCCAGATTAGTCGATAATTCACAATATATAACACTAAGAATTAAAGAGGCTGGACTTTTTCAGAATTCTTTGATGAATAGAAAGTTCAAAAGAATAGCATTTATTTGAAATATACATCTTTTGTAACATTAAAAGGTCTTTACTGTCACTTTTGATCAGTTTAATGCATCCTTGCTGAAAAAAGTAAGAAAAAAATCTTACTGACCCCAAACTTTTGAACAGTAGTGTAGTTGCGTCACAGTTCAAGCTGTCATTCATCAGAACAGGCCACGTTCCTGAATACTGACCCATTTCTTAATTCCACTACAGAATCGAATGCACGAGAGTATGAAACTCTTCGACAGCATCTGCAACAACAAGTGGTTCACCGAGACCTCCATCATCCTGTTCCTCAACAAGAAGGATCTGTTTGAGCAGAAGATCACACACAGCCCCTTGACCATCTGCTTCCCTGAGTACGCAGGTACTATAAAACAACCAACTACCCAATAAATCATTTAAATCAAGTGCACAAGTGCTCCAGGAGTGCTGCGGTTCAATACATCGCAAACTCTGGCTTTACCTATGCATTAAAGACAAAAGAAATCAATATGGGCCTCTTTAATAATTGTACCTGGTGTTTTGTGCAATAAAAATAAATAAATTATGGATATTAATATATCAGACAAAACAAATGTTCTGCCAAGTAATATAGTTCATAAACCTAACTTGTAGGCTTTTTAATGCTACAAGTTACTTAGCAATTTCACAACTGACATTAATAAGAATGTGCTTTTTTCTGCACATAAGTTGAAACTGTTTTATAATACAGATCAGTTCATGTTTTTCTGAAGAATAAAAATCATATAACATACTCAATTTTTTTAAGAACAACATCTGACTTGGACAAAATAGATAGTTCTTATACAGTTTGGAGCATTACATCACTTGCTCACCAGTGTATCCTCTGCAGTGAATGAGTGCCGAGTTCAAACATCTGATAAAAACATCACAATAATCCACATGTAGTGTAGAATATGTCTTTATTGTCCACCAAGGTGGAAATTTTTCCACGTAATCCACACCACTCCAGTCCATCAGTTAACATCTTGTGAAGTGAAAAGCTGCGTGTTTGTAAATCCATCAAGGCATTTTTTTTAACTTCAAACTAGAGGTCTGGACTATTTTTTTTAATGTCCCGCTCCCGCAAGGTTCTATTCCGCACCCACCTGCTCCCGCTATACAGGTGCATCTCAATAAATTAGAATGTCGTGGAAAAGTTCATCATCTTAAGACACAAAATTTGTTTAATATTTTATGCAACATGGTAGGAAAAAAAGTGTCAGAGAAAATAAAAATTTACAAAAATTGTATATCTTATTTTTATTCGTCTTGTCAGGATACAATTCGTTTAACATTTACAACACAATATTAAAAAGTGTCGCAGAGAGAAAAAAAAATAAAAATGTAGGCTGTGCAAAAATAGCCTATTAGCTATTTTTATTCGTCTTGTCAAAATACTAAATTCATTTGACATTTTTCTGGTAACACAGTAGGAAATGTGTCGAAGAGAAAAATAAATAAATACGACATCTGTCATTTAAAATGATAGGCTAAGCAAAATATAAACAAAACCGAGTTGAACGTCCTTCAAGGACAGCGCATACACACTTTGCTCCATCCTTATTCTGCTCTGTCTTTCATCGACAACCTGCCTGTTCTGTCTGAGGGCCGTATATTTACCACCAGTACAGCCTGCTCTGAGCATCGTTATGCACATGCTGCGCACAGACCCCGCAAATAAAACGCGACGCAGAAAGCATGCATGCAGCGCGTACATAACAGTCCGAGTGCAGGCTTTACCGGTGGACGATAAGAATAAAGTGCAGATATGCTGTTCTGAATGGACGTCGGGAACGGGATTTTGTTAGACCGCCCGCTCCCGTTCAAATTACACCAGAGTTACCGACCGCTACCGCGTTTTATTCGGGAATTTAATCCCGCGGCAAAAAATATCTGGTCAGACCTCTACTTCAAACCGCTGCTTCCAGCTAAAACATGAGTCATCCATCCAGAGTACATGCAGTGAAAATATTGTTTTGTCTGAATGAGGAGAAATATGGACAGTTCAAGCATGTTTACAAGCTTTACAACAGTAAACCTTTCAACCTTTCTGAACAAATGTGTCGGTGGATTTCGATGTGAGAGGACAACAGGAGATTGGACTTTCACTGGAGGAAGCGTTATTATGGATTATAGACTGTTTTGGCCAGAAGCAACAGTTTGTTTCTTACAAACACGCAGCTTTTTCACTTCACAAGATATTCAGCACATTTTCATTCTTGGGTGAACTATTAATTTAACCAAGGCTGTACAGGCTGGAAGAATTATTTTAACCAATAATATTGTGAAGCTGAATATTAATTTCCACTCAGAAATGCATCACATTACAGAAGTTAGATGTGTTTCTAATGCCATTTTCATGTTGTCTTTGAAGTGTACACATGTTCCATGTGAAAATCAGACCAATCTAAACCAGTTTTACTCTGGCATTTCCAGTCTTTGTGAGGCTATTCACTTCAAGTGTTCATCAAGGGGTTTATTCAAATGAGGTCCACTTGATGTTCAAATGAGTCCAGCAATTTATTATATCCTGTGCAGGGTTGTGCATGGGACATCAGTCTAACACAGGACAGGCCGCTTTACTGATATCAATCAAGTGGAAGAGGTCATGTGTCATTTTAATGATCATTATAAATGTGCTGTTCTCTCTTTTTCTTGGATTTTGTTTTTCCGGCTTCTGTCTGTCACTTTCTGAGTTCGTCCTCCCCTACTGTTTTCTCATTATGCTTTGTATTTCCCCTCTCGACAAGGTGCCAACAACTACGACGAGGCCGCCGAGTACATCCGCACCAAGTTTGAGGACCTGAACAAGAAGAAAGAAACTAAGGAGATTTATCCTCACTTCACCTGTGCCACGGACACGAAGAACGTGCAGTTCGTTTTCGACGCTGTCACCGACGTCATCATCAAAAACAACCTGAAGGATTGTGGGCTCTTCTAGAGCACGAAAACAGGAAGATGAGTCGAGGTACAAATAAACACTCAAACCAGAGCGTCCTTTCTTTGGTTTCCAAACTACTCGTAACTTATTTCTCTTCTTCTTTCAGATTACTTGAACAGTTTTGATGACCAGAGGAAGTAGGGGTGTAATATGTCCTGAGCATCTGCACTGGCCAACCACGACGACTGATAGCTCAGAGGAGCCCAACACAATTTCAACAGTTGCCAACGACCTTAGCCTCTGTTCTCCCTCCCTCTCGACACTGTCCCAGCATTGTGTTTGACATTTAATATCTGTATTATTAACTCCTTGGGCTATGACCACAAATCACCAACTGTTGTATTATCCTTTTTGTTTATTTTTTTTCCTTTTGTTCATTTTTTTTTTTTTCCGAGTAATAGCAGAGGCAACAAAATGTTTTTATATGATACTTTCATTTTTCTCTAGTGAATCTGATGTGCAAATGTTATTAAACTTTTAATTGCATAATGCTTATTTTTTAAAAACCAACAGGTGTTAGATATAAGGTATGATTGAAAAAGGAAAGCGCCTTTTTATGATGTTTACATGACGTCCTTGTTGATAGAAAATGGAAAGTTGCCCTGCATGATAGAAGATAGCAAATATATCAATACAAGTAATCAGTTCACATCAGCGTAACATTCCTTTTTAAGAATACATTTTAAAAAGTACAAAAAAAGAGCAAAAACTCAACAAAAAAAAAGCACAAAAAAATCTTCACAAATAAGGAAAGAACTGCTAAAATGTAACTGATATTTAAAGTATGTTCATAACCGTATCTAGCAGTCTTTTTTCCTTCTCTTTTTATCTTCCCGTTCCTCTTTCTAGCATTCTGTTTGTGCCTTGACTTCCATTTACAATCGACTTTATTTTCTCACCAAGCTGTCCTACTGTACGTAAACATTTCTGCTCCAGAATTTTCACACGATCTAAGAATAAATAGTAATAATAATAGAAATCTAATTGAAAAAAAAGGGGTAGTGTTTTTGTTTCATTTTTTGGTAAAGATTACAATTCTTTTTACAGTCCTATATAATGATTTAATTTAAATAAACGTTCATTCACTAGATGAAGTTGTGCCAACTGTGATTTTTATTTCAAGTGTACTGTTTTGGAGGTTAGTAAGTGCACATCAGTGGCTGAATAATTAATTTAATATCCAATCGCAGTAATTAAATACACATTTAAGAGCCTGCTGTAGGGCATCAATTTTCTAATTTTAGCATATTGTGCTCTAGCTGATTTCGGCTATCCATTACCTAGAGAGGTCTGAAAGAACATTAACCAACTTAATTATTTAAGAACATTAAGATTCATTTCTTTTCTGAGATCAGATCGCAGAAAGACAAGGCTCCAACCAAAGTCGCTCCCCCACTGCTGAATTAAACAAGTAACACAGTCCTGTTAACTGTTGAAAGACAGCAGAAAATCATCTCTGGTTAATTAATCACCATGTTCGGAACATATGCTTCTCAAAATTATAATTACATTCATTTGGAAATGTCTCACACACTTGTAATCTAACCTGGGGCTTTTCCATCAAAAAAGATCTGAACTAAATTTAGGGTTTGGAGAGTGGAAGATTTCTGAACTCACCATTATGCACTTTTGTATGCTGACTTTGGACAGACTGATACTGCCATCTAGTGACTACTTTGTGAAATTACCCAGCATATATGAGGCTATTATCAATTTTACAACTAAATCTACATAATCTCACTTCTCAGAAACAGATATGGCAACATGTCCCAGCTTGTCATTCTGATCTGATGCCGATGGCTTCTCAGTCCCTTCACCGTTAGCTTGAGTGCTAAAAAGATCACAAATAAAACAAGAAAAACTGAAAAACAACATAAACCTGAGAAACCTCTTTGTCAAATTTCGAGCTCACCTGTCATTCGCCAGGAGTTCAGTGAGATCTTTTGTTCCACAAACTGACGCACTGTATACACCAAAGAATGAACGACAGGTCTTAAATATTAAAATGAAAAACTAACTAGCTTACTAAAACTGTTATCCTACATAAGTTCCGAAGTAAGGGACTCCAAAGGCTGATTGATGTCTTTGAAAGCCGCGTCTCGCTGCTTTTTTTTAGATTATTGCGCATGCGCGCCTTATGTTGGTGTTCCACTGTGCTGTTTTTGTTTGTTTTTCTAACGGATGTAGTAATACTAACTAGAAGTAATGATAAGTAAAGTATTTTTTGCAAAAACTAAATTTTTGTAACGAACATAATGTTTTTATTTATATACACTAATGTATGTAGCACTGGTGAGCTGAATGGCTGTTCATATAACACGTTTTTGCATTCCAGTGCGCCCCCTACTTGCCTTTACGCTGTTTTTCTATAGAAACATGCATATTTTACATTGGACATGTTGACAGTTGCGCTAGCAGCAGGCTGGAGGGCAAAATAAAATAATTCCAGTTTTTTTTTTTTAAACGTGCATTTTCATTCCACAGCCCTGCTTCTCACTTCTTCGACACAAAAACACGTTCTGTGAATTTCCCTTAGGGACGTTTTTCTATTCCACTGTGCTGCTTTCCATTGCTTTACTCTGTAAATATGCCCTGCTGTTTGACAGTTATGCTCGTGTCCCGCGTAAACTCAAAAATGCGTACTTGCATACTGTGTGAAAAAGCAACATGAAAGCACAAAGAAGGATTGTGACAGGTGTGTCATACCATATGAATACAGACCATGTGATCATGAGCAGCAGCAGAAGAGCACCAGTAACGGTGAGCAAAACGACAAGCCACAGCTGTGGATCCCAGAACTCACTCCACATTGTCACTATTTGTAGCGCCCTCGTCTGGAGAGAACAGACAAATCAACTCGGCTACATGCATCTGTACTACAAGAGATGGTGAGTGTCAGTTATTGCTAAACATTCATATATATTCATAGCAAATGCTCACTATGGTGGTCCACAGCACAACGGTGATGAAAACGACCACATCAGTGCTGTATTTCCCATCAGACACCTGAATTGTGACCTCCAACATGGTGTCATCATGCGTCAGGTAGGAGAAGGGGGAAGTCGTGGCCTAATGGTTAGAGAGTCGGACTCGTAACCCAAAGGTTGTGGGTTCGAGTCTCGTACCGGCAGGGATTGTAGGTGGGGGGAGTGAATGTACAGCGCCCTCTCCCACCTTCAATACCACGACTGAGCAAGGCACTGCTCCCCGGGCGCCGCAGCAAAAAAATGGCTGCCCACTGCTCTGGGGGTGTGTGTGTGTGTTCACTGCTGTGTGTGTGCACTTTGGGATAAATCCAAAGCACTAATTCCGAGTATGGGTCACCATACTTGGCCACATGTCACGTCACTTAGAAGAGGTCTTTAGATGACAGACTCAGACCATTCATTTGCAAACAGTCCACAATAGCACTTTGAGAACATAAACATGGGGCTGGCATGGAATGTGTTATAGTTTATGTATAAACAGGGTGAAACAGTTGATGTTTCAGCTGTTGGAGTCATATTAGTGATGATGACATTACCAAGGTGGCAGTTAGGTGGTCTCTATCGGGGTCTGTGCAGCTGAGGGTGATAATGGGAACTCCAGCTGCCAAAGTGGAGAAAATGATTGATTTCTATGAGAGTAGGTCACACACTGGACCGTTATTGTGCACATTCTGCAGCAAAAGAGGGGAAAATGTTCACTTCAGGGCCAATCTTGAGATATTTCTCGAAAGAGTGATTTAAAGCATTGATTCTCAACTACCTCTGCGCACCCTGTTTGCACAGACATGATACGAGCTTGCTATTGCTAGCCTCTCTGAAATCACCTACCCTACCTTTAATACACTGCTTAACAAATGTTTTAAAGACATTTTTGTTTACTCTTGTACAATAACAATTTGTAATACATTTGTAGTACATTTCAAACAAGTTTTAAGGACTTATTTCTTTGTTCTGTTGGGTCACCACTTCATATCCAGTGTAAATCTTGGCTCCATATGAGTTTAGAAACAATGGCTTAAAGTTTAAAGCTTCAAGCATTACTAAGTTAGTTTTATTTAAATGCTTATCTTAATTTAGTACACGCCTGACCTGAACTTGCACAGTGACGTCAATAGCTCCGGTCCATTAGTTCTGTCTACATCCTGGTCAGAATCCACAGCTGGAATTTTCACCATGTAATTCTGCTCTTCCTCCAAATCCAGTTCTGTACCCAAATACAGCTGTCCTATAGATTGAGATAGCAGGACTGATGCCGCCGGAAAATTTGATTATTGTGGTGGGCAATTGAAATAATTGTCTAAAATTATGTTTTGAGTATAATGGACCATTTATGAAGCATTTAAGTTGGAATGATCCATATGATCTCACCTGCGACTGGTTCAATGGTGTGAGTCTCCTCCTGAGATGGCCAGCCGGGACTTAAAGGGCCAGTCTCGATCAACTGCATTCACCATGATGGTCCCACGACAGGCATCTTCTGGGACGGGCAGCACCAATGGATCCTCAATCTGAGGGTCAAACTCATTTACTGGAGTGATGCTGACCAGGATATGGATTTCAGCTGGAGAGAAAATGGATTGGAATAATTTTTTGACAGCAGTTTATACAGATTGTAAATGCATTTTAGTTCATATAAGGTCATACAGTATGAACGTATAACTCGAATGTGAATTTATTGTTTGTTAGTGAATTAATTCTCATAGCTGGTGGCACTGGATTGAAATGTTCCTAAAATTTGATGTCAGATTTATATATCTTAGAGATTTAGTTCATGTGAATTGAAAATGTAAAAAAAAAAAAAAAAAAAGTCAAAATATTAAAAAAATTATATATAAAAATATGAATGAATTTGTATAATACATAATTTTTTTTTTTTAGATCTTTTTGTATATTTTATTTATATATCATTTTTGTTTATTTGTTTGTTACCAGATTTTATGTCATTGGATGCAGATTTGCTTAACATTTTCTGGTATATACTGTATATTACTTATTGACTACCAAGAGAAAAAAAAAGACAGTATGGCCATTTAATGATTATGAAGAAAATAAATTAAAATAAAATAGAATTTCTTCTGTTGAACACAAAATAGGATATTATGAAGAATGCTGTAAACCAAACAGTTGCTGGTATCCATTGACCTCCATAGTATTTGTCCCCTACTATGCAGTAAATGACTACTAGCAACAGATTGGTTACCAACATTCTTTAAAATATCTTCTTTTGTGTTCATCAGAAGAAAGAAACGTACACGGGTCAATTTAAGGATGAGTACATTGTGGCTAAAACACGAGTCCTCTATTCATAATATTGCTTTCTCCAGTGAAAAGTCATCTTGT